TTTTCTTCACAGATGCTGCCAGACCTGCTGAGCTTTTCCGTGGTTGTGGTAGTGTCTGGGACGTTGGCTGTAGTGTATCATTTCATAAGACTGATTATGTCAGGCTCTTGTTTAACGAGTCTGTGGGATAGCTCTGCCAATTTTGCCACATGCCTTAAGATTTTTGTGAGGATTACTTTGCAGATTTGACAGGATTGTGTGTGCCATTGTTGTTTCTGGTTCCTTGGTCAATGCCAGATAGTCTGTAGAGTTTCCTTCCTTTCGTTAGACTTTGTAACCATTTGATACAATGATTGGCTTGCTAGGCCAATTCAGAGAGCAGCTGAGAGTCAACCACATTATTGTGGGTTTAGAGTAATATGTGATAGAGCCATTGAGATCTACAGCTCAGAAAAAGGCCCTTCGGCTCATCTTGTCTATACCTGTCAAAAATAACCACCTAACTATTCTAATCCCATTTTCCAGTACTTGACCCATGGCCTTGTATGCCTTGGTGTTGGAAGTGCACATCTAAGTACTTCTCAAATACTACGGTTTTCCGACTCTACCACCCTTACAAGTGGTGAGTTCAAGATTCCAACTATCCTGTGGGTGAAAAAGTTTTCTCACATCTACTCTAAATTGTCTGCCCCTTACCTTAAATCTATGCCCCCTCTTCATTGATCCCTCCATCAAGGGGAAGAGCTTACTCCTGTCTGCCTTATCTGTGCCCCTCATAATTTTCTACATCTCAACCATGTCCCTTCCCAATCTCCTCTGTTCTACGGAAAACAACTCCAGTCTGTCCAATCTCCTCTTCACAACTGAAATTCTCCAGCCCAGGCAACATCCTGGTAAATGTCCTCTGCACCTCTCCAATGCTGTCAGATCCCTCCTATATTGTAGGTTCCGGAGTAGCTCACAATACTCTAGCTGTGGCCTAACTAATGTTTTGTACAGTCCCTGCTGTTAAACTCTATACCTCGACTAATAAAGGCAAGTATACCATATGCCTTCTTAACCACTTTTATCTACCTGTCCTGATACCTCAAGGGACTGGTGTTGATGCACACCAAGGTTTCTCTGATTCCTCTGATCCGTGGTTCCTAGGATCCTACTGTTCATCATATATTCCCTTGCCTTGTTTGTCCTGCCCTGGTGCATCACCTTATATTATTCCAAATTGAATTCCGTTTGCCACTGATCAGCCCATCCGACCAGCCCATTTATATCCTTTGTAATCTAAGGCTATCCTCCTCACTGTTTACCACCCTACCAATTTTCATATCATCTGCAAACTGACTGATCAACCCTCCAACATTCAAGTATATAACCACAATCAGCAAGAGCCCAACATTGACCCCTGTGGGATTCCACTGGATTCAGACTTCTAGTCAAAAAACACCTCTCAACCATCAGCCTCTGTTTCCTGCCACTCAGCCATTTATGGATCCAATTTACCAAATTGCCTTGGATCCCATGGGTTCTTACCTTTGCTATCAGTCTGCCTTGTGGAATCTTATGAAAAGCCCTGATGAAGTCCAAGTAGTCAACATCAAAAATGTCTCTACACTCAGTCACCTCTTCAAAAAATTCAATCAAGTCAACCAGACAAGGTAATGATGGCAGCTTCCCTGGTGGACAATCATGACAGAGAATAGGTTTTATAACAGTCTACACTGATTACATGGTTCGCATTAGTCTAACTTTTTAAGTCCAGATTTTATTGAACTTGAATTTCACCATCTACCATGGTGGGATTTGATCCCATGTGAATACCTGCAGATTCCCCTCCAGGCCACACCATCTTGGAACAGATCAGTATTACCTTCATGTCACTGGGTCCAAATACTGGAACTCCTTTCCTAACAGCACGTGAGTTGCAACCATTCAAGAAGGCCACATGTCCAGAACAATTAGGGATGGACAATAATTTCAGGCCTAGCCAGCAAAGTCTACATCCCATGAATGAATTAATGAAATTTAATCTAAAGTGCTGCCTCTAGCACTGCCACCATATTTAGGGATCATTATCCTCTTGTTCCATCTGCAATGTGGCTGAACCTGACTCTTCTTACTCAGTGTGATTTAGACATAATCTGTTGTAACGTTTTCTTTAAACACTTTATTTACAACTACCATAAACAGGACCTAGTGGTGAGCAACATGTCTGTTCCATTCACCCTGACCTTCTGCCAGCCCCTATGCTTACTTCATGAGTTACTCACAGTCTCATTGACAAATATTAATCTTATGCAGTGCATTTCAGCAGGACTTGGGGAATGAGCAACTGGCTCTATTCCCCTCCTCCACTCACTGTCACCATGCTCTCTATAGAGTCATAGAGTTATAGAGATGTACAGCATGGAAACAGACCCTTTGGTCCAACTCATCCATGCCAACCACATTTTCTAAATTAATCTAGTCCCACTTGCCAGCATTTGGCCCATATCCCTCTAACCCCTTCCTATTCATATATCCATCAAGATGCCTTTTAAATGTTGCAATTGTACCAGCCTTCACCGCTTCCTCTGGCAGCTTGTTCCATGCATGCACCACCCTTTGCATGAAAACATTGCCACTTAGGTCCCTTTTAAATCTTGCCTCTCACACCTTAAACCTATGCCTTCTAGTTTGGACTCCCCTACCCCAGGGAAAAGACCTTGACTATTCACCCTATCCATGCCCCTCATGATTTTATAAACTTAGCAGCTCAATAGTTTATAATTCATTCTTAGGCTGTCAGTGTCACTCCCCCGGCCAGCATGAATTGTCTATCCCCAAATGCTGTCAAGAAGCTAGTGGTGAGCCACCTTCGAGGCTAATAAAGTCTGTGTGGTACAAGTGCACTCATACTGTTTTTTCTTGGGGTGGGAGATTCCAAGTTTTTGATCCAGCAGCAGCCGCAACTTTTGAATTCTCGACTGTGCAACTTGGACAGGAGCTTGGAGTTGATGGCGTTTCCAGGAAATCTGCTGACCTTGTCTTTCTAGGACAGCATAGGGACTGATGGGACTGGAGAAAACAGGAGTGGGCTACCATTTCTTCACATCTCACAACATATGAAAGTCATGTCTTAGATATTATCAGATGCAGTAGGGTCACCTTCTTGACTATGAAAATGAGACAGATGAATAGCTCATGGTACAACCATTAGCACACTGCCAATGTTAATAGTGAGAGTAACATGCTTGCCATGTGCTTACCTTGCTCTTAACTGTGTTGAACCATTTGAGGCTGCTGAGTGAACAAATTCTTGTTCTGTTAGTTTATTAACAGAAGGCCAAGGATGCTCTGCCTCTCGATCCACCTGATAAGTCTTCCCCCTCTATGCCTTGACTGCCTCCCCATCCCTGTTTGGCCATGACTTAGGCAGTTCTTATAGCATTGGGAGGAGCACTTGTGACCTGACATGGTGTTGATCAGTAAGGTCACAGACAATACAAAAATTGTTGGGGTAGTAAATAATGTCCTGATACAGTAAATTAGGTGTTTTCCTTTTAGGTGCCTTATCTATTACTTCAAACTGGCCAGATTTTACATGACACTTGCTGTAGACAAGTCAGTCCAATAGTAGTCTAGGTCCTGTTGACATAAGAACATGTTGATGTAAGAACGAGGAGCAGAAGTGAGCAATTCAGCCCCACAAGCCTGCTCTGCCATTTAGTACAGCCATGGCTGATCTCATCTTGGCCTCAATGCCACTTTCCTGCCCATTCTCTATAACCCTTCAACCACTGATAATTATAAATCTATTTCCTCTTTAAATTTAGTCAGAGTCCCAGCATCCACTACACACCATAAGATTCCAAATTTCTCTTTAAATGGGTCTTCCATCTGGCTCAGGAAACCATTGAAACGCCCTGTGAATACTACCTCAATGATACTTGAAAATGAAATTCATGCCGATTCATTTTTGCGGTGTTATTGCTCTTAATTCTGCCATACATAACGGCTGGAATGGAAGCACTCAATAATTCTGAAATTCACAGTGCTTTAAAAATGATTCAATGAAATTTTGAATGGTGCTTTTTAATATTTGTGACGTGGTAACAGGTATCTAAGAATGAGAAGGTTTGGAAAGTCTGGTTTGACGCTGATGCTCCAGAAGAAGCTCAAATTCCTCACGGATATAGTGACTCTTTAGATTCATTCTGCAAGCTATTGCTTATCAGGTGAGATACATCCACAACAGCATGTTTATTACAGTACATTTAATATGTGACTCCTATCTGCAGGTTTCCTGTTAGTATGTTTCCTGTTACCATGGGAATATTGAAACAAGACTTGGCCACTGAGCTGTTAAACTTAAAGTCATGGGGATGTACAGTTTGGAATCAGACCCTTAGGTCCAACTCATCAATGCCAACTAGATATCCTAAATTAATCTAGTCCCATTTGCCAGCATTTGGCTCATAGCCCTTTAAATCCTTCCTATTCATATACCTACTGAGATGCCTTTAAAATATTTTAATTGTACCAGCCTCCCCCACCTCTTCTGGCAGTTCATTCTACACAAGCACCACCCTCTGCATGAAAAAGTTGCCCCTCAGGTCCATTTTAAACCTTTTCCCTCTCACCATAGACCTATGCTGTCTAGTTTTGGACTGCCCTACCCCGGGAAAAAGACCTTGGCAGTTCACTCTGTCCATGCTCCTCATGTTTTTTTAAATCTCTATAAGGTCACCCCTCAGCCTCTGACACTCCAGAGAAAATAGCCCCAATTTATTCAGCCTTTCCCTATAGCTTAAACCCTCCAACCCTGACGGCATCCTTGTAAATCTTTTCTGCACCCTTTCAAATTTCACAACATCTTTCCTATAGCAGGGAGACCAGAATTGAACGTGGTATTCCAAAAGTGGCCTAACCAATGTCTTGTACAGCTGCAAAAGGATCCCCCAATTCCTGTACTCAATACACTGACCAATAAAGGCAAGCTTACCAAACACCGCCTTCACTATCCTATCTACCTGCAACTCTGTTTCCAAGGATCTATGAACCTTCACTCCAAGGCCTCTTTATTTGGCAACACTCCCCAGGACCTTGCCGTTAAGTGTATAAATCCTGCCCTGCTTTGCCTTTCTAAAATGCAACACCTCACATTTATCTAAATCTAAATTAAACTCTCCCTTCCACCCTTCAGCCCATTTGCCCATTAAACGTGTTCTGTCATTCTAATATGTATCTTAATGACATTTACCTGTCTTGATTCAGTAGCCCATAATGTATTTGCACAACAAAAACCTAACAATGCCAATTTTAAACGTTTTCACTGACCTAGCATTAGTAACCTTTTGAGCTATATTTCCACTGCCTTTGTGTGATGAAGTGCCTCCTGGCCTTGCACTTGAAAGGCACAGCTCTAACTTTTATATCATGACCAGATTTTCTGTGCAATATTGGCAAATGTCACATATGGCATTCAATATTTCACACTCTGCTGAAACCACAATGTCCCATCTTTCAATGGGACCTTCCCCATCTTTTGTGATGACAGGTGTCAAATGTTTATTCAGAACCATGCCTGTGAATTCTGCCTCTGAATACAATTTGCTGTTTTGTCTCTAAATTCCCTTACCTTTTCCTTAATTAACCTCTTGTCCTTTGTGCATTTATAAACCCCATTTTTTCCGTGATTTTACTTGGAAATTCATATTTTAATAGCTTTCCTGATTTTCCTTTTCATTTCATCCCCATGATCCTGTACTTCAGCATTGAACTCTTATCTTCTGATGTAAGCTTCTATTTTTTACATGATTCAACTCTCCACAGATTTTATCTCAGTTAATATTAGGCTAGTTAAAATCTCCTGTCATTACTTACTGTTTCTGCACTTTTTGGCCATTTGCTACTACCCTTTGAGAAGTTGAGGGTTCACCAACTCCATCAGTGTGACTGCTTCATTTCTCTGTTCAGTCCAAATGTCTTTATTTGATGATTATCAAGCATATCATCCCCTAACACAGCTGTGATTGTTTCTTCAGTCAATATTGCAACCCTTTTTTAGTTTAGTCTCATTTTTCATCCAAAAACATTGTAACGAGAGAGATCTTGTAGTCTTGTAGGTAGTTTCCCTATCTCTGGTCCAGAAGCTGTAGGTTCAAGTCCCAGCTTGAAACTCGATAACCATGGAAGGTGTACTTGGCATGGCCAAACAATTTGATTATCAATGTGTAATGCTTTTGATACTCCTATGACGAGTAGGAAAACCTCCTAGTCAGCTAGAATCCTGTGCACGCTGCAGCTGTACTTTTTAAAACACTCAACATACAGAATTTTGTTATGAGTAACATCATCCCAATTATGAAGGAGCACAACACATGCTGTAATGAAAAATATTAAATTGCATTTCCTGGCTTTCCTTATTCCATGCTTCAATAATACATTTGATACCATACTTCAGGTACATATCTTGCAATAGACATTTATTATTTGGAATGTGCTTTACATGACAATGCAGCAGTGTGGACCCTTTCTTGCTAATATATGACCATTGAAGTCTTCCTCAACAGTTAACAAAGAATTCTAAAAATCTTTTATTCAACTACAACTTTGCACTTTCAGGTCTTGGTGTCCTGACAGGATTCTCTCTCAAGCTCGAAGCTACATTTCTGAGGCAATGGGAGCAAAATATGCAGAGCCAGTGATTCTAAACCTGGAGACAACCTGGGAAGAAAGTGATGAACTAACTCCTCTGATCTGTTTCCTGTCCATGGGATCTGATCCCAGCAATCAGATTGAAGGACTGGCCAAAAAGCTTGAAATTGGTATGGATTCAGTCAATGTATAGAATACAACTGCTATCTGCTAGATCCCCAGTGTTTCAAGTATTTGTTTTCAACATAATTAGCATCAGAATAATTTTATTATAGCTCTCATTTCTTGTGTTGTATAATGTCATTTTCCTCAGCTAATTTCATTCGTTATTGACACTGTGGTAGCTGACTATAATACTAACTGCATTCAATTCCTTGTATTCCCACCCAAGAATCAGATGGATAGTCTACTTTGGAAAGTACAAGTTCCCATGATCAAAAATGTCATCTTTGTAATTTAACATAAACTGTAGACCTGTTTTTCCTCTCATCCCTGACCAATATTTATCTCTCAATTGACATGACAAAATAACAGCCTGTTGATTTTCACTCTGCTGTTTGTGAAAGCTTGCTGTGAGTGCAAATTTGCTGCTTTGGTCTTCCACATTATTACAATGTCTGAAAATCAAAAGTACTTAATTGGCTGTAAATAGCTTTGGAGTGTCCTGTGGTTTTAAAAGTGCTCTGTAACAGCAAGCTTTTGTTTTCTCCTTTGCTGCCAGAACGTGTTGAAGCAGGTGCACTACTGTGGACTTAGACTCATTGACTTTGTGTTAAGCCTTGGTTACCCCTTTAGCACTGACTAGATGTTCTTCCTGCATTTCAAGGAGAAATCATTCCATTTGCAGTCTGAAAACTTGTAACACTGAAGCTCACTGAAGCTGACCTTTACTACAGTCCTTGCTCAATCCTCTGTAGCTAGCTGTGGAGCTCAATTGACATATAATTTGAAAACATGCAGTAATGTAATCAGTCATTCTTGTTGATTTTTTTCCATTCATTCACAGGATGTCAACGTTACCAGCTGCGCCAGTATTTATTGTCCATCCCTAATTGCCAAGATACATCAGGAATGTGTTTTTTTTGCCCCATACTGAACATTAAACAAGGACAGCATGCTGCCGGGGACTGTCATTAAATTGCTGTAAATTGTAAAAACATATTTGAAGAAGTATCTGTACTTGGATTTAATTAAGAAACACCAGGAATTAGGGAAGTCAGGGAAAATATGATAAAGCAACATAAGTAATGTAAAGTAGAATAAGGTGAAGTAAAGTTAAGACATGGCAGTACAGCTGAGTTGTGTGGAATATATGGCCGGTCATATCCGGGAAGTCATGGACCCCAGCTGTGTCCTAGATGACCACATGTGCAGGAAGTGCTGCCAGCTGCAGAAGCTGGAGCTGAGAGTTTCAGAGTTCAAACAACAGCAGGAATCACTGTGGCACATCTGTGAGGCTGACAGTTAAGTGGATAGTGCTTGTAAAGGCCTGCAGAATACACACGAATGAATGTCACTTTTAAGCCAGATCCACAGGACTCATCACCGAAAAACACTGAAATCAGTCATATTTCTGAGTGCTGTATTATAAAGTAACACTGTTAAAAACTCTATGTAAAAGCTAACTGATCTGTCTTCTTCAGATTGTAGGGCAATGTCAATGGGTCAAGGACAAGAGGTTCACGCCAGAAAGTTGGTGGCATTATCTATGCATCAGGTCAGTAAAATCATATGAGCCTAAATCCTAAGTAAGTTTAGACCACATCAACCATCTTTCATTTTAAATTTTCAAAAATTTCTGTAAGCATTGTACCACGCACCAGGTGGGTATCATGTGCCCTCTCTGAAATGTTTGTCCTGCTGTTTTGTACTCAGTACCAAATTAAAACACTGTCTGATAGCACAGATGGTAGATTTACTGAACCCTTGCCCAATGTCAAATTTGGTTCAGTTGGAAGCATTCCCATCTCGAAATCCAAAGGTTCATCACAATCATCTTGGCTAACACTTCAGTGCAGTAGTCAGGGAGTACATGTCAAAAATGTCATCTTTGTAATTTAACATAAACTATGGGCCTGTTTCTCCTCTCAACTGTCTATAAAACAACCCTGTCCAATAAATAATCTCTCAGTTGATAGCACAAAAAAAAGTCTGCTAATTTTCATACTGCTGTTTGTGGAAGCTTGCTGTGTGTGCAAATTTGTTGCTGTGGCCTTCCATGTTATCACAGTGGCTGAAAATCAAAAGTACTTAATTGGCTGTAAGTTGCTTTGGGGTATCCTGTGGTTTTAAAAGTGCCCTATAATGGCAAGGTTTTGTTTTCTCCTTTGCTGCCAGAATGATTTGGTTTGATTTGATTTATTGTTTGCTGTAGTCACATGTACCTAAGTACAGTGAAAAGCATTGTTTTGCGAGCAGTACAGGCAGATCATAACAAACAAGGACATACAGATTATAGGGTGCTTAGACAGAGCGAGGCATACAGGGTTATGGCTGCACAGGAAGTGCACGAAGCAAGATCACCATTAGCAAGATCAACATTATTTGAAAGTTAGAGAGGTCCACTCAGCAGTCTGATAACAGCAAGGAAGAAGCTGTTCTTGATCCTGTTAGTGCGTGTGTTCAAGCTTCTGCATCTTCTGCATGATAGAAGAGGTTGTAGGAGAGCATTACCGGGGTGGGAAGGGTCTTTGATGATGCTGGCAGCCTTTCTGCGCCAATGAGAAGAGAAAATAGAGTCCATGGATCGGAGGTTGGCTTCCATGATGGTCTGAGCTATGCACACAACTTTCTTTAGTTTCTTATGATCCTGGGGAGAGCGATTGCCATACTAGAGTGTTATGCATCTGCTGCATCTGTAAAAATTGGTGAGGATCCTTATGGACATGCCAAATTTCCTGAGCTGCCTGAGGAAGCAGAGGCGTGGTTGTGCCTATTTGACCGTCGCATCTACATGGGAGATCCAGAACAGATTGTCGGCTATCGTCACTCCTAGGAATGACTCTCTCCACCTCAGCTCTGTTGAAGTAGACAGGGGCATGCCCTCCTCCTTTCTTCCTGAAGTCAATGTTTAGTTTTTTTGTTTTGCTAACATTGAGAGAGAGGCTGTTATCTTTGCACCACAACATCAAACACTTTATCTCCTTCCTGTATTCTGACTCGTCATTGTTTGATTTCTGTCCTACCACAGTGGTGTCATTAGCAAACTTGTAGGTGGCATTCATACGGAATTCGGCTACACATGTCATGGGTGTACAGGGAGCACAGTAGGGGGGTGAGAACGCACCCTTGCGGAGTGCTGGTGTTGAGGATTATAGTGGAGGAAGAGGTGCAGTTACCTATCTTTACTTTTTGTGGTCTGTGGGTCAGGAAGCTGAGGATCCACTTGCAGAGGGTGGAGTGAGACCTAGGTCTTGCAGTTTTGAGATCAGTCTAGAGGGGATTGTGGTGATGAAGGTGGAACTGGAGTCGATGAGTAGGAGTCTGATGTAAGTGTCCTTGTTATCCGGATGTTCCAGGAATGAGTTGTAGGGCTAGGCAAATAGCATCAACTGTGGACCTGTTTCATCAGTAGGCAAATTGTAGGGGATTGAGGCAGGCTGGGAGGCTAGAGCTGATGTGGGCTATGACCAACCTCTCGAAGCACTTCATCATTATGGAGGTCAGAGTCACTGGGCAGTATTCGTTAAGGTACATGTGTTGAAGCAGGTGAACCACTGTAAACTTAGACTCATCTACTTTGTATTAAGCCTTGGTTACCTCTTAAGCACTGACCAGAAGTTCTTCCTGCACCTCAAGGAGAAATCATTCTATTTGCAGCCTGAAAACATGTAACACTGAAGCTCAATAAATCGAATAACTGCACTCAGTAACTATCCTTTACTACACCAGGATTTGAATCAGGTTTCATGGAGCCTAGAAATTGGCATAGACCTGAACTCCAGACATGTAGCAACTTTGAAGGCAGGCTTAAAGAAACAGCCTATGGCTTAACTAGATACCAAACTGTTCCGATTCCTATTTATCGGACCATCCCTCATGCAACTACAGGGATAGCTCCAGCAGAGTTGCTAATGGGGAGAAGACTCCACACCAGGTTAAAACTGATCTTCTTGGACCAGGGTGGGAGGGCAAAGCACCAGCAGGAACACCAATGTCAGATACAAAACCCCACAAGTGGGTGGCATGGTGGCTCAGTGGTTAGCACTGCTGCCTCACAGCGCCAGAGACCCGGGTTCGATTCTAGCCTCGGGTGACTGTCTGTTGTGGAGTTTGCACGGTCTCCCTGTGGGTTTCCTCCGAGTGCTCCGGTTTCCTCCCACAGTCCGAAGATGTGCAGGTTAGGTGGATTGGCCATAGTGCCCATAGTATCTAGGGTAGGGGTTGGGTCTGGGCGGGATGCTCTTCGGAGGGTCGGTGTCAACTTGATGGACCAAATGGCCTGCTTCCACACTGTAAAGATTCTATGATTAAAAAGTGAGAGTGGCAGTTTACTTCAAGGGATGACGTTTGATGTAGGAACCACGAGAATGACCCTGCACGGGTAAGAGGCATGATCAAAGCAAGGTCAGGTCCAGTGATGTATAAAGTTTGGGTAGATGTGAGGGTCCTGAACAAGCATATGGATCACGTACGAACAGCAAACTCGCAAAAGGAGCAGGAGCAAAATGCACCCGGCTCCTCAACAGCCTTTCTGACTGTTCTGGAACTCATAGGTTCTACCTCTTCATCAAGCATTGAAGATATCTCAGAATCTAAGATGGTCACAGTGGATGTCACTGTCTTGATGCCTTTGCTGCTTGAAGAAGAGAATGAATTTCTTCCGACACACTCCAGGCACAAGAGGCAAGCTACTGTGTGTTATACATCACCCATATCAGAGGCAGAGTTGGATGAACCTGACCCGATGCTAAAACGCCCCAGGAGGAGCTACAATAAAAAAACAACCAGCCTATGTCCTCAGACCCAGAGGGGGAGGGATAGAGTGATTGTAACGAGGGCTGCCGGGCAAACATCATAGAATATGAATTCCCTGACTTGGGCTGTTAATCTGGTCCAATCAGGGAGCCCTGGCTGACAGATATAAACAGGAGTGTCAGACATTTAGTTTACTCTGAGAGCTGGCTCGGAGGAAGCTGCATCAGTGTCAAGGACTCTCCACATATAAATAAAGGGTGACATGGCAATGGGATACCAGCATCTGTGGGGTTATTTCAGTCAGCCTTATCCTTTACAATGTCCCACTGTCAGTCTCATCCATTACACTGTTCCACTGTCAGCCTTATCCTTCACACTGTTCCACTGTCAACCTTGTCCTTTACTGTGTTTCACTGTCAGCCTTATCCTTTACACTGTTCCACTATCAGCCTCACTCCATACATATGGAAATGGAAGAGTGGCTTATTTTCAAATGGTACTGTAGTGTCCTTATATCATCACTGCTACCATGTTGTGTCCATCTGGTTTTCAACTAACTTTTTGTTTTGTCTGTATCTTTGTTCCCTTTGCAGATCTGCCTGTCCTGTTCATATTTTGAGCATTTTCTCTTCTTTTCAAGTACCAGCAACAGCAATGCTTTTTCTGGTACTTGAACAAGGGAGTTCCTTGCAATTATTCCAGTCTCCCGCTTTAACTTTTTCAGAGATGTTGGAATTATTCAAAATTTATGTGATCATAAGGCATGGGAGCAGAAGGAGGTCATTCAGCCCATTGAGTGTGCTGCACCATTCAAGGAAATCATGGCTGATCTGAAAATGCTCAGCTCACTTTTCTGCCTTTCCTCGTAACCTTTGACTCCCCTTTTGATTAAAATGGGCTTTCTGAACTGAATGTTCTGCAACATCTCCTGCAAAAACCCACCAGTGCAATGATAGGCAATTACAAGGATATCCACAGGTAGACAGCCCAATTTTCTCATTTTTAAACCATGACACTGTGTCCAATCCTCATACAATAAATCAGTCATACCTCCAAACACCAGAATGTCTGTGGGATGTTCATGTAACCCACGTTATTTAATTCATCCACACACAAACAGATACAGTATTTTAATTAAAATGATGCTGTGCAATCTAAATTTTGTAGATTGGAACATCGTGGATAATCTCTGTCCTATTTTGATTTTTCCTTGCCCATTAAACTCTTTGAGATATACTGGATTTTGCATAGCCTTAAGAAACTAATTGAATGGTTATTTCTCATTCCTTAGGGTGGCTGGGTTTTACTGCAGAACTGTCATTTAGGATTGGAATTTATGAATGAGCTGTTAGAGACCTTACTCACAAGTGAAAATGTCCACGAGTCTTTCCGAGTGTGGATAACCACTGAACCACATCCGAAGTTCCCAATCACACTACTCCAGGTTTGTGTTTATTCTGCACACTGTCAGGTTATGTATATGTATAGTTAAGTTGCACTGCAGCGACTCACCAAACTTCTTCAGCAGTACCTTCCAATTTCACAGTGGAAGACACCAGCAGCATACCAGAACTTCAAGAGTGTCAGGGGCAGAAGTGACTATAGTGGCTACCACAAAGGAGAAGTTCCTGGGAAAGCTCAAAGGTTTGAAGGTGGATAAATCACCGTGACCAGATGTACTACACCTCAGAGTTCTGAAGGAGATAGCTGAGGATATTGTAGAGACATTGATGGTGATCTTTCAGGGATCACTGGAGTCAGGGAGCATCCCAAATGACTGGAAAATGGCTAGTAACATCCCTGTTAAAGAAGGAAGGGAGGCAGAAGACTGGTAACTATTGGCACGGTTAGCCAGACCTCCGTCGTAACTAAAATTTTAGAGCCGATTATTAAGGATGAGATTGCGGAGTTCTTGGAAGTGCATAGTAAAATAGGGCTGAGTCAGCACTGCTTCATCAAGGGGGATCATGCCTGAAAAATCTTAGAATTCTTTGAAGAGGTAATAAGCAAGTTAGACAAAGGAGAGCCAGTGGACATGATCTATTTGGATTTCCAGAAGATATTTGACAAGATGCTGCACAGAAAGCTGCAAAATAAGAAAAAAGCCCATGGTGCCAGGAGAGTGGGCAAAGAAGTGGCAGGCGGAATACAATGTGGGGAAGTGTGAGATTAAGCACTTTCGTCGGAAAAATAGATGTGTAGACTATTTTCTAAATAGAGAAAGGCTTCAGAAATCTAAAGCACAAAGGGTCTTAGGAGTCCTAGTTCAGGATTCTCTTAAGGTTAACACGTAGGCTCAGTTGGCAGCTCAGAAGGCAAATGCAATGTTAGCATTTGTTTTGAGAGGGCTAGAATACTAGAGCAGAGGCATACTGCTGAGGCTGTATAACACTCTGGTCAGACAGAATTTGGAATATTGTGATAACACAGTGTGGAGCTGGAGGAACACAGCAGGCCAGGCAGCAACAGAGGAACAGGAAAGCTGACATTTCAGGTCGGGACCCTTCTTCAGAATATTGTGAGCAGTTTTGGGCTCTGTATCTAAGGAACGATGTGCAGGGCTGGACAGGGTCCAGGGAGGTTTACAATATGCAGGACTTGTCATATGACCTTGGGTCTGAACTGGATGGAGTTCAAAAGGATGGGGGAAGGGGGATGTCATTGAAACTAACAGAATATTGAGAAGCCTGGATAGATTGTATGTGGAGAAAATTTTTCCACTAGTAGGAAAGACTAAGACCCGAGGACAGAACCTCAGAAATGAATGGAGAACCCTTTCGAACTGAGATGAAGAGGAATTTCTTCAGCCAGAGGGTGTTGAAGCTATGGAACGTATTGCCACAGAAGGCTATGGGGGCCAAGTCATTGAATGTATTTAAGACAGAGATAGATAGGTTCTTGACTGATAAGGGAATCAAGGGTTACGGGGAGAAGGCTGGAGAACCGGGTTGAGAAACATACCCATGATCGATTGGTGGAGCAGACTCAATGGACTGAATGGCCTAATTCTGCCCCTATATCTTATGGTCTAAACACATAATGTCCACCATCTAGTAGGACAAGGACTGAAGATGTGTGGGAACAGCACCACCACCTGCAAGTAACACTCCAAGTCATACACTAACCTGACTTGGAAATAATCTTTGTTCCTTCTCTGTCAGTGGATCAAAGTACTTAATTGTGTGAGAGGGAGCTATGCCACAGCACTGTGTGTCAATAGTGGAAGGGTAAATGTTTCATTTGGCAGACATTGTCCAACCATGGTGTCGTGTTATCCTTCTCTGTTGTTCTGGACCAGACCAAGCCCCCTTCAAATATATCAAGGAGACAGTCTTGATCCTCATTTTTTCTTCTTTAATGGAGGTGTAAGTTGCTGTGTCCAGATGTAATTTGATTGGCTACACTACTTGGCTTTAAACAAAACACACACAAACAAAAGAAGGAAGAACTGGTCTAACTTTAACTCTATTGGAAACTTAACGGAATAACAGATTATTTAACTACTGAACAGCAACTATTCTAATATAGTAACACCCCTTAAATACACCCTTAGCAAAGGCAAAGTCAGTATAATAAATTGTCTCAAATGCAATGTGTCTCCAGTCCAAGAGAAAAGAACATCAAGAGAAAATTCTGGCAGAGAAGGAGAGAACTCCAGTGTTTTGCTGTAGCAGGGAGAGATATATACATGTTTCAAAACCCCAATAACTACTGAAAATTAAACTGGAATCCTGATTCTGTGAGAGCTTAACTCTACCCATTCATGCTGCTTCTATTTGTTCCAACTTGAAAAAAAGCCAAGGTCACACAAGCTGTTTACTTTATTGGCTTGGAACAGACTGCTCTACGCCTCTGCCTCAAACTGTCTTTATAAAAAAAAGGACAAAGTACAACTTTTAAAACCATAGTATCTTCACATTGTTGAATCCCTGTCTTGATTTGATATTAGTTTATTTCTGGGGGGGAGGAATTTTTGGCATTCTGATTTCTTCCTTCCCAGTAGGTTCATTCTCCACAGTAGGTGCAGGTTGAAGGACACCGACAAAAACATTTGGTTTGATGTGAACATCTTTATCACTGAAGCCTGTGATTTTCAGGGATATTCCAACTTTCTCCTCTCCATTGACTCGAGCTACTTCAAGGGTTGTGTTCTAGTTGGTAGCTCAGCTACATGAAATGCATGGTACTCTAACAAGGCATGATGTTGACCAGTTGAGGACAGCTGGCATGATCCTCTGAGGATGGTTGTGATGCGGGTAGGTGAGAGAAGAGCCCAATTTCCAGCTACTTGGACAATTCTAATGTCAAGTTTAGGTCAAGACACAATGTAAGCAAAAAGCAAATTGAAAACTGTTGACCTGCTCTTGCCAAGCTTGCAATGTGTTGGATACTTGCTGGATACTATACATATTTCTAGAAATGCCCAGATGTTTCTCAGTCAAGACACTACATAGGTTATTGAGTTCTTTATTGTAGCTGGAACATATGTTGAATTACAAATGACCAGAAATTTGAGGTTACTGAAGATACACTTGAGAGCTCAACATAACCATGATTAGTGATGTCCAATCTTAGTGAAGCAGACGTACAGATGAGTGAAGACTGCCTATCAGCTTGCATTTGAAGTTTTCATTGTTTATTTTCCAGACATCCATCAAGTACACTAATGAGCCTCCTCAGGGAGTGCGGGCAGGATTGAAAAGAACATTCACTGGAATCACTCAGGACCAAATAGAATATTCGAATCTACCCATGTGGAGACCACTATTGTATGCAGTTGCTTTCCTGCACACCACAGTCCAGGTAATAGAGCCCAGATCTGACTATGCTGTACTTTAATAATCTATTCTAGAGTGATGTTAACTTTTCTCATAATGCAAAAACTTATCAGGTGTCCAGTAGTTACTTCCTACCACCTTACCTTGTTCCTTTGAGCAGGAAGCAGTGATATTCACCTAAAGTCACTGGGGTAGTTCTGTAATTATGCATCATCAAGTCCTTCTGCAATTGTACTGTAGCCTCACTAAGACTTCTACTAACCAGGCAAATAGCAGAAGTTGGTTAATGGAAAGGAAAGCTAAGGGAAGCGGGGAGCCATTGGCCAGCACCAATGAAGCAATAACTGGAAAGAAGGTAAATCAGGGAAAGGATTTCCAGAAAGAGTCAGAGAGGCACTGGAGAAGAGTCAACCTTCTTTGTGGAATTTAGAAGAGCACTTCTGTTCCTCTTACCACAAAGAAAGTAAACATTTTTAAGTATACCTATCTGGGCCTCTTCGAATTCTGAATTTTAATTGCCCCTCTGCCCCACCCACTCCTCCCTCCCACCGCACCATGACCACATTTCTCGCATAGTTTCTGTCAGATGGGGAGAAAGAAACTCAGGCCTCACTGCAAACAAATTGGTCTGAATAGATTATTGTAATTCATTGGCTGGGAGAAGTAACATAACTCCCTAAACATAATGTAAAATCTAAAATCACCCATCATAACCACATGGTACCTATCATACTACCCTGTTATATGAATTTATATATCCAACTGTCAGGAAGTCTACAGACAATTCCTCTTGGAGTCATGAATCTATTGCCGTTACTTAACTTCTCCCATTTTGATCATAAAACTCATAAAACTGTCAAGCAAACACACAGGTATACAAACTCCACTTTAAAAATTTAAACTTAAGTACCCATAGCAACTCTCAAAGTAAACATACAGCTACTCAAACCTTTCAACTTTACTCCTTTGAATTTCTCATAAAAGTGTCAATAAAAACTGAGCTTACAGTTCCATCAACAAATCCTGCTAGGCTAAATCCATTTTGGGGTTTGGAACTCAGGCAAGCATTCATAATGGAATTCCAAAGCATAGGTACATCACGAACTAGTGATGAAAACATTAATACCTTTGAAGTGATGGAACAGTTGGCCAGCTGCTCCATTGCTTACTTTAAAAGGCAGGACAGATGGCTAGATTGTGAATTAATGTGAAACATGCAGTCCAAATGACACATCTCATTACTGTGGAACGTAGAACATTGTGGAGTACTTTTCTAGTTGGATAATGTAATCTACCTCATCTGTAAACTGCCACAATTTTTGTAAATGTAATGGTTACTTACCATTGAAGACCAAAAACATCTCATCTATCATTGCATATTTTTGTTGTCATGTAGGACTTAATTATGGCATGTAGCATTGGCAAGAAGTTTTAAACATGCCTGTCAGAATACTCTCAACTCCACATCCACCGTTCTCCCCGGTTCACAAACATCTTGATCTAATGTGATTCACTCTAGTAAGTTCCACAATCTTTTGAAGAAATTTCTCCTGAAATCCCAATAGCATTTTTTGGGGATTATCTCATACTGGTGGTGTCTAGATAAGCTTTTCTCCACAAAGTGAGACATTCTCTCCAGATCCACTTTCTCAAAGCCTTTCATAATTTTAAAGATTTCAATTAGGTTACTCCTTAGGCTTTTTTTTTTCAAGAGAAATTTCAATAATCAAGCAACCAGTAGAGAGGCAGTGATGTAACTGAGCCTGGGTCCGAAGCAAATTGCAGCCACAGAAGAATCTGAAGTTTTAGAATCTTTTCATGAGCTCATGTGTGAAGTTAAATTTGACTAAGAAATCAATACACTGGAAACTGGTTCAATCTAGATAATTTTGAATTTTACAAAATGAACTAAAATGGTAGTAATTAAGATTTTGTTTCTACTACTTCTTCCATGTTAGGAACGGCGTAAATTTGGCCCACTGGGATGGTGTATTCCATATGAATTTAACTCTTCAGATTTCACAGCCAGTGTCCAGTTCATACAGAACCACCTTGATGATTGTGATAAAAAGAAGGTGCGTCTTGATTTTTTTTTTGCTGTCATTTTGATTATGAATGCATAGAAATCGCAACAAGCAAATATCTCAATACTGGACCAAAAGAGGATAAAGATTCTTGCTGAATATTGAAAATTTAAAATCAGGGAAGTCCATGCAGATTTAGAGATCAAAGTAAATAGATTATTTAAATTTCATGAACAGGTAAAGGAAATACCTCATTTATATTCATCAGCAAAGGCATTAGTTCTAGTCTGACCCTTGGGAACACCAGTCTCTACTATCCTCAGGCTTGAATAACAGCGACTGTGACTTGCTGTTTTCTCTTTTCTGACTCTAAACCTTTAATCTAAGCTGACATACTGACCCTACTAATTCTTGAGCAACAATTTTGTTAACCAACCTTTTTAGGACCAGTGAAAAGGATCTGAGAAATATCAAACTGAATGGGAAATTACAACACGTTATGATCACTCTTTTCAAGAGGATCCTTTACTGTGAGTTAATCAGTTAATCCTGTCTTAATACACGTTACCAGGTCTTAAATAGACTAAAATGTCCACTTTCTTTCTCAACCGAGGATTCCCCAGCGCCTTAGTTTACGGGGCCCCCAGCCAGGTCCAGTGCATCTCCTGTACTTCAGCGCTCACCCCATTCTCTTCCCTCCCACAACAGTGATAGGGTTTCCCTTGTCCTTACCTACCATCCCACCAGCATCCACATCTAGATGATGATTAGTGCCATTTCTGCCACCTCCATCACGATGCCACCACCAGACATATATTCCCCTCCCCTCCCTTGTCAGCCTTCCACAAGGACTGTTCCTACCAGGATACCCTGGTCCACTCCTCCATCACTCCCAAAATTCCCCCACAGCCCCATGGTACCTTCCCCTGCAACCACAGCATCCATGGGAACAAACACATCTTCCAGATGAAACAACACTTTACCTGCACTTCACACAAATGGTCTACTGTGTTCACTGCTCACAATGCGGTCTCCTCTACTTTGAGGAAATGAAGCAGAGACTGGGTTACCGCTTCACAGAACACCAACATTCTGTCTGCAGAAAAGACCCTAAGCTTCTAGTTGCCTGTCACTCCAACACACCACCTTGTTCCCTGGCCAACATCGCTGCAGTGCTCCAACAAAGCTCAGTGCAAGCTGGAAGAAAGCGCCCATTTTCCGCTTGGGAATTCTACAGCCTTCTGGACTCAACATCAAGTTCAGTAGTTTTAGGGCTTGAAGCACCTTTTCCCATGCACTTACCACAGCTCCCCCACACACCAGGCCTTGTTATCACTTGGTCTGCTATTACACAAAACCCATTGTTAGCCACTAATAGTCCCCAGTAGCAGCTATTCATTCTCCTAGGCTGATCATAATCCAGTCCTTTGTGTGTCCAACTGTTCTCTCTCTTTGGGTTCCAACTCTACCTATCGTTTATTCCTTCTCCCATCCCCCCACCATATCTTCTGCATAAAAAAACAACTTTTTCCTCGGTACCTTTAGTTCTGAGGAAGGGTCACTGGACCCAAAATGTTAAGTTTGATTTCTCTCCATAGATGCTGCCAGACCTGCTGAGCTTTTCCAGCAATTTCTACCTTTGTTTGTAAAATAGTCTATTCCCTGATTGTTTCCACAATGTAATATTTTAAGAAACTGTCCTGAATACACTCTATGAGTGTACAAAAGCACCCACAAGTCTGCCTTTGCCAAATTTATTTTTCCGATTTATAAGATTAAAATTGTATTTATTATTCTCTGTTAAAGTCCCCATAATTTCATAATAGACCAGGAATAGAGAGCTACAGATCACACAGAGGCAAAAGGTTTTTTAGTTTAGAAAAGGCATCATGTGTTGGCACATGTTTGGGGGGCTGAAGGCCTGTTCATGTGCTGTACTGTTCTTTGTTCATTCAAAAGTGGATCTTCTGATAGTATTCAAATCAGGGTGTTGTTTATTGGTTAGAATTTACACACTCTATTGACATTAGACCTCCTTGTATTTGTTTTGTTCAGGGAGTGTCATGGAATACCATACGTTACATGCTCGGAGAGGTTCAGTATGGAGGCCGAGTCACGGACGACTATGACAAACGCCTCCTCAACTGTTTTTGCAAGGTAATCACATTCCTAAACTTTCCACACAGCAAATAAAAGGCCTTTGCAAATATTTATATATTTTAACAAAGTTTTTATGATTCTACAATATTTGCAAAGATGGAGCATAGTTGGATGCCATTGGCTGAAAACAAAGAAGAATTCAAGCAAAAAGGACTTTGAATTTTTTTCTATTCCTTTTCCATCACAGCAATCACCCCATTTGTGTAGCTAGTGGGAAATCCTAGTGTTCAATCAACTGTTAATACAAGTGAATGGTGCGGTAGGGAAATATATGGATCTCAGGGAAAAGGATTACCTCACAACAGAAAGATCAAGGTAGTACATCAGATCTCACAGGTTAGACCATTAGGAGGGATCAGATAACAGGAGTGTCAAGATCATGAGAGCAACCAGTTAGAAAGGATATAATGACAAAGCATTTAAAAATACATAATAAAATCAAGCAGAGTCAGCATAATTTCATGAAGGGGAAATCATGCCTGACAAATTTATTATAGTTCTTTGTGGAGATTACAAACAGATTAGATAAAGATTGTTATGACACAGAGAGAGACAAGCAAATCAAATCAACCTCCCTATTTGCAACACAGTAAAATTAAAAATACTCAATGATCCTCAATATTGTCTCAGTGGTTCCTAAGCAGACTTTGAATAACCAGTAGCAGACTTAGTGAATAACCGATACCAGACACCAAGATTATAGTTTAAACAAAAGAGTTAATTGTTTATTAGCAAAGCAAAGTTAAATAACAAGATAATCTAATTACTGTCTATGATTTTAACATGATTTTCATTGATTCTAGCCCCCACCCATACAAAGACAGATAGACTAACAGACACTGTTAAGGGATAAATGAAAAGAAAAGATACGTAACTGGCCAGTTAATTTAAACTGTTTCCATGCTCCATTGTATCACAGACATATAGGATTGTATCTTGCTTGGTTTCTGTAGACACCAGTCAACGCAGATAGTTTCCAATTGGCTCTGAGAAATATTCATTTAATTCATATAACTGGGGAGCTTTGCAGCCACAATCCCTATGACAAAAACACACAGTTCAAAACTAATGCAAGTTTTGGTTTCTCTTTGTGTCTTTTTTTTAACATTCTCTTAGTGCTAACCTCCCTGTTAAGCCCCTGTTAACATTCAAACATCTGCCCTCTGTTTAACCATAATGCCTCTCTGAGTTCATATATCTATGGAGTGCCTTGAAGGAGAACCAACCTGTAAGTAACCTTCAGACCTGGCCTCATTAACAAAATATCAGTTTGTTCTTTCTTAAAGAAATAAGCTGCCAAAGATCCAAAGGCCGCCTTCAGCTCTCAGCTCACAGTTCACAGCTCCAAACCAAAAATTTTCAAAATAAAATCAATGAGGGTTCTAAGAAGGTGAACGAGTAGATGTAATCTACTTGGAATTCCAAAAGGCATTCAAGATTCCAAAGGGGTTAACAGCCTTAAAAGTGGATAAATCTGCAGGCCTGGATAAAATGTATCCCAGGCTGTTGAGAGACAAGAACGGAGACATCGAGATCTTTTGAGATTCACTCCAGCTGCAGGTCAGGTGCCAGAGGACTGAAGGACTGCTAACATTGTCCCATTATTTTAAAAAGGGAGGAAAGGATAGACCAGGAAATTACAGGCCAATCAGGCTAATTTCAGTGATCCCCTTCAGAAGGGCTGTCATATGTTGAATGGTAGGACTCTGCAAAGTGCTGAAAATCAGATGGACTGTGGTAGATATATCCACAGATCCTTGAAGGTACCAAGGCACATAGATAAGGTAGTTAAGAAGGCACATGGGATACTTGCCTTTATTAGCTGAATTAGTTGGAACTGTATACATAGTGGTTAGGCCACAGCTGAAGTACTACGTTCAGAGGAGATTCGCCAAGATGCTGTCTGGCCTGAAGGATCTGAACTATGAGGAATGATTAGATAGACTGGTGTTGTTTTCCTTGGAACAACTAATGTTGCGAGGGTCCTGATAGAAGTGTGTTATGAGGGTCACTGTGTACATTTTCCATCAGAAGAAAAGTCAAAAACCAGTCACATAGATTTAAGGTAAGAAGTAGAATGCTGAAAGGAGAGTTGAGGAAAAATATTCTCACTCAGAGTGATGGGAGCCTGGAACTCTCTGCCTGAAAGAGTGGTTGAGTCATAAACTCTCAAAACATGCAAGTAGTATTTAGATTTTCATTTGCTTTTCCATAATCTCTAGGGCTATGGACCAAAAGCAGGAAAATGGGATTACTGTAGTCAGATCTTATTGACCAATGTGGGCACAATGGGCCATAAGACCATGAGAAAAAAGAACAGGATAGGCCATTAGCCCCCTGAGCCTGCTCTGCCAATCAATAGGACACAGCTGATCCAAAATTCCTCACTTCCACTTTCCTGTCCTTGCCCTGTAATCCTTGATTCCCTATTCTAATCAACAAATCAATGTATTTCTGCCTCAAATGTACACAAGGATTCTGTTCCCACAGCTCTCTGGGCAAGGAGTTCCAAAGACTCACAACCCTCTGAGAGAAGAAATTCCACGTTATCTTAAATTGGCACCCCTTTATTCGGAGTCTATGCCTTCTGGTCACAGACTCATCCATTTGGGAAAACATCCTCTCAGCATTTACCCTGTCAAGCCCCTTAAGAATCCTAAATGTTTCAATGAGATCACCTCTCATTCTCTAAACTCCAGTGAGTAGAATACTAACCTATTTAGCCTTTGTTCATTAGACAATCGAGCAGAACTGGACACAGTATTCCAGAAAAGGCCTTACCAATGTCATGTACTACCTCAACATAATGTCCAAACTCCTACACTCAAAGGACTAAGCAATGAAGGCAAGTGTGCCAAACACCTTTTTAACCACCTTGTCTATATGTGACGCAAACTTTAAATTATGTACCTCTGTTCTACAATTCTACCCAAGGGCCTACTTTTATACTCCAACCTCCTTGAACTAAGGGCTAACATTCCATTAGCTTTGCCGATTACCTTCTGCAGCTGTGTGCTAGCTGTATGCAAAAGTATCGCCAAGTCTCTTTGTGTTTCAGGTTTTTGCAGTTTTTCACCATTTAAATATTCCATTTTTATGTTGTCCCTTCCAAAATGAACAACTTCACATTTTTCCATTTAGCCTACTTCTGTGTTTCAAACATCTATCAGTGTAAAAGTATAAGGAGAACCAGTAGAATCGTAAGAACATAAGACATAGGAAGTAGCCAGACCATTCAGCCCATCAAGTCTACTCTGCCATTCACTGAGATCATGACTAATCTGATAATCCTCAACTCCATTTTTCTACCTTTTCCACATAACCCTAAATTCCCTGACTGATTAGAATTCTGTCTGTCTCAGTCTTGAATATACTTAATGACCCAGCCTCTACAGCTCTCTTACAGTAAAGAATTCCACAGATACACAGGTTTTGAGGCAGAAGAAATTCCTCCATATCATCGTCTTAATTGGGTGACCCCTCATTCTTGGATTACACTTTGATTCTAGACTCTCACAGTACAGAAACAGCATAGAAACAGGCCCTTTGACCTACCTATGTCTGTAGTGACCAACAAATACCAAACTATACTAATCCCAATTACATGCACTTGGTCCATAACCTACAATACCCTGGCATTTTAAGAATTCATTCAGATGCTTCTTAAATGTTGCAAGAGTACCTGCCTCCACCACCCTAATGGGCAGTGGGTTCCATATCTCAACCATCCTCTGGGTGAAAGAAGTCTTTTCTCAAATCCCCTAAAGCACTTACTCCTCACCTTAAACTTATGCCTTCCAGTCTTAGATACGTCTGCCATGGGGAAGAGATTCTCATGATTTATCCTGTCTATGCCTCTGCTAATTTTGTATACAACAATCAGATCCCCCCTCAGCCTTCTTTGCTCTAAGGAAAACAAACCCAACCTTTCCAGTCTCTCCTCATTACTGAGACTTGCCATCCCAGACAACATCCTGATCAATTTCTTCTACACCCTATCCAGTGCAATCACATCCTTCTGATAGTGTGGTGACCAGAACTACATACAGTAGTACACACCTGTGACCCAACCAGTGCTTCATAAAGTTGTAACAAGGCTCCCTGCTGTTTTATTCTACACCCAGGGTAATAAAGGCAAACACCCTGTATGTCTTCTTCATCACCTTATCTGTGGACTTGTACACCAAGTTTCCTTTGCTCCTCAGTACTCTATTGGAACATACCATTTATTCTGTAAGTCCTTCATTTATTAGACCTCCCAAAGTACATCACTTTACACTTGTCAGGGTCAAATCCATCTGCCATTGCTCTGCCCAATTTACCAGCTGATTAATAACACACTTTAGCCTGAGACCGTCCTCCTTGCCGTCAACAACACCACCAATTTTCATGTCATCTGCAAACTTACTGATTATGCCTTCTACATTTTCATCCAAGTTGTTAATGTACATTAAAAGCAGCAAGGTTCCCAGCGCCGATCCCTGTTCTACACCACTTGTCACAATAACAAAAACAACCCTACATCATCTCCTTTGCCTCCCATTTGCAAGCCAATTTTGGACCATTTGTCAATTCACCTTGAATCCCATGGGGTCAAACCTTTTGGACAAGCCTTCAGTGTAGAACCTTGTCAAAGCCTTATTGAAGTCCGTGAAAACCACATCAACTGTACTACCCTCATCAATATATTAACCACCTTTTCAAACCGATCTCCTCCAGAAAATCTATGTAGACTTACTCTAATATGTCCCTGTCTTTCCAAGTATTGATTTATCCTGTCCCTCATAAATTTTTCCAATTTTCAGACCACTGACATCAGACTAACTGCTGTGTAATTCTCCAGTTTATCACTGCCCTCCTTCTTGAATAAAGGAACACATTAACTATCCACCGGTCATCTGGCACTTCAAGGCATTCTGTTCTCTTTGAATTAAAAACGAACTTTCCATTTGCCTTCCCTGTTACCTGGTGAACTTATTTGCTAGCTTTTTGTGATC